AGAGAGAGAGAGAGAGAGAGAGAGAGAGAGAGAGAGAGAGAGAGAGAGAGAGAGAGAGAGAGAGAGAGAGTCTTGGTATACATTATCGTAATGATTTTACACCATTAAGCCACCAATTCCTTTCACAGGCAAAGCCTTCTGGCGAGTTGGTGCACCATACAGCGATGTTCGGATGGACAGTGCCACCGGACCAAAACGGCTGACAGTGCCAGGCCAAAAAGGAAGAGAACATGCCTGCGCCGATTCTCTTTTTGGGCGTGCAGGGGAAATCCACATCAGGAAAAAACAGGCTCGGAGGTATTGGTGGTCTGGTTTAAGAGTGGTTCTTCATGTTCCGCTTCACCGAAAAAAAAAAGAAGAAAAAGGGAATGGACTCTGGAGGAGAGTAAGAGCTTATGGGAAGAGATTGGCAGAACTGAGGCAGGTCTGCAAAAGGGGCAAAACGCATCCAGTCCTGACTGAAGCAAACCTATCCGATACTTCACTGTTTCGAGCCGTTCTTCGACGGAACTGAACCAGCAATCTCTGGCACCATAACACAATAGGTAAAGTGTGCCGGGAAGAGAGAGTGGCATACTGGGCAGCACACGCCGCCCACTCCAGCAAGGGTATAACATTATGTAATCTATACTACTTAACATGTTTAATTTTGAATAGTAATGAGCTGATGTAGCAAGACTCTAGTCACTCTACCCTTCACACACTAGGCTTACTCGTGTCATCGGCTGGACCTCTATCGGGCGCTATAACCTATAGCAAGGGTGTCCAACTGGCTCCCAATGCTTGTTGGTGTAATCGAGTCCAAGATCAAATCCCAATAGTAAAGAATTTTGAACCTAACCAGTCGTGCAGGCACCTGGACACAGTTTCCCTACCTGAGCTGGAGTCTTTGCTCTTCTTGAGGAGCGGGCAGCTCGCCCTGAGCCTAGGCAAGACATGACAGCTGAAACGCAAGGCATGGGGCCTCGCCGCACGCTACTCACCAAACGCACCAAAGACAAAAATGACGGCGGTGCGTCTTTCCATGTTCCAACGGAAGATTCAGTCTCATTTCGTACATTTGGTGAGTAGTGCGGCGAGGCACATGGAAAGAGTTACGGAGATGAGAGGGGAGCTTTTCCTCCTCAGAATGGGGACAGTTGATCCTTTGTCAAAAGTAAATAAAAATAAAAAAAAAATGAAAAAAATCCGTGTGATTTCCAACCTGCTGGTGAACAAAGAAAATAGCGTAGCTTTTGAGAAAAAAAAAAGCATAATATAATAATATTGCTTCCGACAAAAGAAGTTTGAAGTACTGAGCAGTCACCATAACAAAAGCTAAAGAGGGGGGGGGAGAGAATAGGAAATCAGTGGGGAAAATAAAAAGAAGAACAACAGCAAATAGAATAATGCATGACGAACGATACAGAGAAGATTAGCATGGCCCCTGTAAAAAAAAAAAAAAAAGAATAATGCACGACGCCAAGAGCATTATTTTGATTTGCTGCAATTAATTACTCTTCCGCGAAGTCATTGACTGTTTGGACAAGGGCTTTCAGACTCTAAAAGCGGCAATATGTCTTTGGCAGTGTCAATGTCTTTGGAAAAAAAAAAGGAAAAAATGAGGCCACAGCCATAAGATTGGACCACAGATTTTGAATGGGAACACACACTGCAAATTGGAACACAGATCGGAGCGCAGGTTGTGAAATGGAACAGCCACTGGACCACACACCAAAACTATGGAACACACAGTTTGTGACTCGGAAGACCATCGGACTAAGACTGTGGACCACAAACTGGCCCACATGCTGAACCACAAACTGGACCACACGCTGGAACGCACACTGGATCACACACTGGAAACCCAGATACGGTAGGGAATGGAATGGGAATTAAAACACAGGTTTGAGGACTAATTGGAGTAGCACTCGGAATTTGGACCACAGACTGCGCCTAGGAACATCACTTGGATCATGCCCAGGAAATCCGACCGCATATAGGTCGATGGAAGGAGGATTGAAACAAAGGGTCGGACAGAGGTTGTGAACTTCGAGTTGGACCACAGAATGCAACTCCAAACTTCAACTGCAACACGGCCAGGAAATCGGAATACTGATAGGAAGATAGATGGAAGGAAGGGCGATTGAAACACGGGTTTGAACGAGAAACGTAACTTGGCACGCCATCCGGAAGGACCGGAACACCAATAGGACCAAAGGTCTCGATGTGGAACACCACTCGGAACACAGATTACAAAACCGTGGATCACAACGAGTACCAGTACTGAGATCCCAGCTATTCTGTGTGCATCCGATGATTAACCTGGGGGCCGCTAAAAGGGGGGGGGGGGCGGCCTCAACCTGCCAGGACCAAAAAACAAATCGACGGTGGTCCCCACCCCGTGAGAGTTCAGAACACCTTTCGCTTTACCAGAGGGGCTTAACTTGAGGGGCGGGCAAAAATGCGCACTGGATAGCAAAAGAGAGGCTCGGAGGTACTGGTGGAAAATGTCAGCTTGAACACAGATGGAACTATAGGGGTTGGAGCACCAAGAGAGTAACCGACGTGCGAGATTGTCATGCAGCATAGCTACGATCCGGACCACCGGACAGGGATCCGGACCGTCCGTGGTCCGGGGTCCGGGGTCCGGGTCCGGATCTTGGTCCGGATGTGAGGGTCCCAGCCCAATGGCCAAAAAATTTTTGGGTGGTCCAGGGTGTTTGTTCACGCCCTGGGCCACCCCAAAAAAATAGTGCCTTATTTTTTACCACCCTCACCGACAATCCAGACGGCCCGGAAAGTCTACGAGGGGGTCTGTACATCTGAGTATTAATGTCCTCATTGTGTCCAGCCTCTTTTCCGAAGGATCCCTCCAGAGTATTAGCTGGGACCCTACGTCACGCAGAGGTGCAACTCAAATGTGTACTTTGTGAGCGTGGGCAGAGAATATATAGTCTATATTCAAATTCAGGTCTGTGCATCTCGGTTATGGGTCACTATTTCTGTGTTTTCTCGTTTTGCTTTCCTTTTCTCGTTTTTCTTTTCTTCTCTCGTTTTTATTTTCTTTTCTCGTTTTTCTTTTCTTTTCTTTTCTCGTTTTTCTTTTCTTAGGAATAGGTGCAGTGGCCCTAAGGGCCTCTACTCACCAAATGCACAAAAGACAAAACATATGGTGGCGTATTATTCCACGTTCTGCAGAAGATTCATTCAAATTTTGCACATTTCGTGAGTAGTGCAGCCAAGCCCTAAGACTCACGTGCAGAGACCAACAGGTCCAAGCTACGCGAGCAACCTGTAACTGCTAAAACACAGACCTGAACTCGAATCTTGAGTGTATATTCGGGCAGCTCATGCTCTACTTCATATTGCTGCCTGCCTCGATTTTTGGGGGGGTCTGCGCTACATGGGTGCGAGGACCCTTCAGATAGCCTGCATGGGCCATCTGAGCCGTGTTAAGGGGATCCGTTGCTCTCTCTCTCTCTCTCTCTCTCTCTCTCTCTCTCTCTCTCTCTCTCTCTCTCTCTCTC